TGTGACCACTATTTATTTTGTTAATTTAACATGTTAAACTGTATAAAAAAATTAGTTGCAACCTTAAAATCAAAATTTTCCAACTCATCTTTTCTGGAAGCTGAATATGACAATTTAAATGAAATAAGCCATATATATATGGTGTAAAATTCCTGTAGCGTACTAAGTAAACAAAAAGTTGATCGGATCGGGCTGTAACTTGCACATAGTTTAGCCCTAAGGGTGAGTACTTTAACAACGAAGTATTGTTAGGTTTTTTCGAAAACTGTTGGAGAAGGAGGGGGTTGAATTTTTGAAGACTTGTAACTTTTAAACAGAAAAAAGAAAAAAAATTTGTCCTATATGTTTTCGAAAAGTTTTTTTCTGCTCTTTCGAACGGTGCAAAAATTTTTTCAAAAAATTCAAATTTTGACTTTTTTTTAAATCAAACTTTTTTTGACTTTTTTTTTAAGTTCGGTCCTTTTTATTTATTTTTTTTTTTGAAAGCTAAAAATGTATATTTTCACCACAAAAAATATTAAGATGTCTTTTTTTGTTATAATCTAGATATTAATTAATTAATTAATTAATGTTAATAAAAAATGAAATATTTCACAAATAAATAGTTATTGCAATCCTGAAGGTACCAATTGAAAGCTGACGTAATTCCGCATCCAACGAGCCCTATATGGACTATTTTGGATTAAAGGATTTTTTATAAACAATTGCCATGTTAGCCAATTGTTTATGAACAGTTTACTAATCCAATGTACTTTATATAGGGCTCATTGGATGCGGAATTATGTCAACTTTTATTAAGTAACGTCAGAATTACGATACCTTTATTCGTTTATAAAATATTTAATTTTTTATTAACATTAATTAATTAAGTGAGGATGGTAATTTTGTTTTTGAATTTTAATATTGTAGTTAAGATGGTAAATAGGTGTCTAAATAGGTGTCTCAATTGGCTAACTTGGCAATTTTTTATAAAAGAATCCTTTAATCCAGAATAGTCCATATAGGTCTCGTTGGATACGGAATTACGTTATAGTAAAATATTTGTTGCTCTAATATAAAAGAAAACTTCAAATTGTATTGCTTTAAAGTAAAGTTCCTAGGAACTATAACTAAAATTTCCTTTAACTTTATTATTTTACTCGTTTAACAAAATGTTCAAATTGAATGAATTGCCATTAAATCCTGTATTCCTAAAAAGTGAACCAATCACATTAGTTTGTTCTTAGATTCTCATAGATATCAAAGATGAGACTTATGTTGATCCCTTAACTTTAAAGATCTTATCAACAAAAAATAGTTTGTTCAAAAAAGAGATTGGTCTTCCTAGATTACAACCCAAGGCAGTTGATACCAAATTCTTTATTCCAGATCATTATACAGATCTACTTGAAATTTATTCTCGGACATTGTGTATAAGAAATATAACGATTTAACCGTGGACTCTAAGAGTTTGGTTATCTCTTTTTTGTGTATATCTAGAGTTTTCAGGCTATTTATTCTTAGGCTTCGAAACCCTGATTAAGCTATTATTGTAGAAAAGGTTAATTGTACAAAGGATGACAAGTTAAGTTCTGTCATACTTTCAACATATAAAGAGGAAACAAGTGGTCTGTCTACCGAGGATATGAACGTTAAAATTCTCTCGTATACGCCTTAATTTACAGAAGCTCAAATTAGAGTCACCCTTATGTTTATGTTTTTGTGTCAATTCCTAAAGGAGTCAAAACAAATTTTAAAACCTCTTTCCAAAATTAATTAACAGATTCTATTACTTTTTGCGAGAGTCATATGATAAACCTGAGATAAAAACAACCCACAGTCTCTTAAACTATGCTGGTATTACTACATATAAATTTATTTCTGATTTTTTGTTAAGTCCCATCAAGACTGTGGCACACCGAGATTTAACAATTATTCGAGAACCTGCTCTTTTTTCTGTTGACCTGAACAATCTCAAAAAAAACTGTGGTAATTATTGGTCATACCTAAGTTTTATGGAACCTGGAGTCCCGAGAGACATAAAAGAAAAATATCCAAATCTTTGCCTTGCTTCCCATTATTATCAACAATTTCAGGTCGAAAAAGATCCAATCGCCAACTTTAAAACAGGTTCATTCTCTGAAACGATTACTGGACTGAAGAATCTTGTACAAAAAATTGGTAATAGTGACATTTATGATCTTGAATCTCAAGTCAATAAGAACGTTCTTGAAGACACGACAATTAAGGAAGGCTTAAAGATTTTGAAGATTAATGATAATAAATTTAGTACTTCGCTCTTGGAACGACAAGCAGAAGCTTCTAAAGGACAATCTTTGAATGATAAATGATACAGAACTAGGTTCTTTGTTTCCAAAATTAGGTGATAAACTAGCCAAATTTAATATTTAAGATTATTATTATAAAAAGCCGAGCTCTATGCACTTTTGATACTATGATACTTTTTTCGATTTGTATATTTTTATCCTTTTTATTATTCTTCTATCCTTTTGATATTAGACAATTAATCTCACAGAAGAAAAAGATTATTAGAAAAAAGAAAAAATGAATACTAGTTTAATAGTTCTAATAAATTTTTTCTTTGCCTATAGAGTTTGGGAATCCTATTATATTTATAGTTTTAAACAAAATTATTTAGCAAAATTTGGCCAATTCGCCTAATTTTTGAAGAATCACCTCCACTTGCGATTGACTATTTTTCTTTAATTACTTGTTTTTATTCTTTTTTGATCTTTAACTCGATACTTCATTATTTAGAAGCTAGATTTCCTGGTTTTAGGAGATTCAAAATTAAACATGATTTAATCATATAGAGTTAGTAATAAACAAAGTTATAATTTATTGCTTTAAAATAAAATTTTTATAAACTGTCTGTCTGTCTTCGTGCATTATATTTCGTCCACCATAGTAATACTGATATTAATTTGTGTTACCACAGCAACAGTTTGCAATTAAAATTTATGTAGCTGACTCGAAACTCTTTAAATTATGCTCTACCCTACTTGAAATCCCTACATAGGTTCCCATATGGGTTCCTATATCAGGAAGCCATATGGAATACCATACAAAATCGTATACGTATTTGAGTCAGAAATTTAAATAGGAAAAAACATAAATATTATCAAATAATATATATATATATATATATATATATATATACAGAAAGCTTACATGTAAGAATTGTAAGGTAACAATGTAAACTGTCAGTAATCTTACTATTAACTTGAAATGTCCGCTTCAGTGTAAGCATACATGTATGGTCGTGGTAAGCTTACATGGTAAGGTCCTAGTAAGCTTACATGGGAAGGTTACATGTTAAGGCCGTGGTAAGTTTACAAGATAAGTTTACAGTAAGCTTACCCTGTAACCTAATTGTAAGAGATTACTTTGTAAGCTTACTGTAAGGTTACTGTAAGCCTACAATGTTATTAAGAAATAAATTTTATTAATATTTATACGCAATAGTTTTCCATGGCACCTACGGCTCCGCAGTAAATTTTATTTAAAAAACCCTATCAACCCTATCAACAGGCATAGGGTTGCAACCCTATGCCTATAAACTACTTTACCAATTATTTCATTATTTATTAACCAAGTTTATAATATAATTATACTCAATAGATTTTCATATTACCTAAACTCACAGCTGCCCTTACAGCAAACTTACAAGATAACCTCTTACAGTTAGCTAACAGGGTAAGCTTACCACATGTATGCTTGCAGTTACGGAGACATTTTAAGTTAACAGTAAGTCTACTGACAGTTTACGATGTTACCTTACAAATTTACATGTAAGCTTTCTGTAAACTCGATGTAATATACTGTGCTGTGCGGGATGGGATTCATGAACCTTTTTAAAATCCCAGGTAAATTACTATATGTGAATTTTATTAACTCTGAGCTGTATATATATTTCGATATAGCAGGATTTTAAAATCCAATGTGGATTTATAATATGTTAATTCCTACGTTTTTCCTAATTCAAATTCCTGTTCCAAATACATATACGATTTTATATGGGATACCATAAGGTTTCCTACATGAGTTCCTATATGGGAAACCATATGAGAGCATATGTATGAATTTTCATTAGGGTATGCCCCTGCTTTTCTGACTGATTTTCATTTTATAATTGGGTTAGTCCACTGACTTTCGTCTAATAGTGGTTGCAACCAAATTTTTAAAAAATCTAGTTTTAATATAAGTGAAACTCGATGATTCCCTGAGTTCATTAACCATAATATTATGGTAAAAATTTTATTCCCTTTAAAAATATTAAATATCAAAAGTAGGAGGTTCACAATGTGATTTTGTAACCTTAAATTTTTCAATTTTTTTAAAAACGCTATTATTAAAAAACTATTAAAAATTAGATGTTGGAACTCACCAAAAACATAAATCACTTTATTCTGCACAGAGGAACGAAAGAATTATTGCAAAAATTTATTATTTTTGGATGATATACGATTTTAAAAAAAATTTTATTTAAATATTCTCGAGATTTTTATTTACTTATAACTTTTTTGTCGGTGCTCCGATAAAATTGAGGTTTTGCACAAAGATTTTTTATAATATTCTTTACCTTCTATTAAAATCCTACGAAGGTGTTTTGCTTCGTTTTGGAGATATTAATTTTCAAAAATTTTTATTTAAAAAGGTTAATTAAAAGACTTGAAGTTAACTGACCAAATTCAAACTGCTTCATTTTTTATAAAAATATATTAAAATGTAGCGATTTGAAATTGGTCAGTTAACTTCAAGTCTTTTAATTAACCTTTTTAAATAAAAAATTTTGAAAATTAATATCTCCAAAACGAAGCAAAACACCTTCGTAAGATTTTAATAGAAGGTAAAGAATATTATAAAAAATCTTTGTGCAAAACCTCAATTTTATCGGAGCACCGACAAAAAAGTTATAAGTAAATAAAAATCTCGAGAATATTTAAATAAAATTTTTTTAAAAATCGTATATCATCCAAAAATAATAAATTTTTGCAATAATTCTTTCGTTCCTCTGTGCAGAATAAAGTGATTTATGTTTTTGGTGAGTTCCAACATCTAATTTTTAATAGTTTTTTAATAATAGCGTTTTTAAAAAAATTGAAAAATTTAAGGTTACAAAATCACATTGTGAACCTCCTACTTTTGATATTTAATATTTTTAAAGGGAATAAAATTTTTACCATAATATTATGGTTACCCAGTAAAAAATAAAAGATGCAAGAACAGCGGATTCCGGTTACAAGATCAATAGCTGGTAAACGAATCCGTGAGAATCTCGGATACGAGCAGTTTTCGGTATCCGAAATGATGTAAAGCTTGTAAACGCACTGAAACGGACGACTTTTGTAAAGCTTTTAATCAAGAAAAAGCAATTAAATGGATCCAGAAACGATGGGAAATGAAATTAGTAGCAAAAATAAATGATTCTTTATTAAAGAAACATACATTTAAACATAAAACAATTATTCTTACTAATTCTAACCCCTGCATTGAAAACATTGGGAAAACAGTGTTTTCTTGGTAATTTTACCTTGTTATTGGGAAAATATGGTTTTCTACCTTACCGACATTGGATATTAATTTAACGCAGGTTTTGTCGAATTTTCAATTTCAATAGAAATCCAAAATTATTTAATAAAAAGTGGTAAAGGAAATTAAAAATAAGCACTTAATTATGTTTAATAACATTTTGATTATTTTGAATTGCTTTTGAAATTAGAAAATCAAAAAAAACCGCGTTAAATTAATATCCAATGTCGGTAAGATAGAAAACCATATTTTCCGAATAACAAGGTAAAATCGCCAACAAAACACTGCTTTCACAATGTTTTTAATGCAGAAGTTAGAATTAGTAAGAATAATTGTTTTTTGTTTAAGTGTACGTTTCTTTAATACATAATTATTTATTTTTGCTTCTAATTTAATTTCCCAACGTTTCTGCATTCATTTACTTCTTTTTCTTGATTAAAAGCCCTACAAAAGTCGTTCGTTTCAGTGCGTTTACAAACTTATGAGCATTTTGGATACGGAAAAGTGCTTGTATCCAAGATTCTCAGGGATTCGTTTACCAGATATTGAGCTTGTAACCGGAATCCACTTTTCTTGCATCTTTTATTTTTTACTGGGTAATGAACTTAGGGAATCATCGAGTTTCACATATATTAAAACTAGATTTTTTTTAAATTTGGTTGCAACCACTATTAGACGAAAGTCAGTGGACTAACCCAATTTAAAGCTTACTCCAAAAGGAAAAAAATATTTTACGTCTACATATAAAAGAGTTAAGAATAGTTAAGAAGAGTTAAGAATAGAGTTAGTTACGAATAGAATTAAAATTTTAATTTTGTTAGTTGTATATTAAGATGTATATTTACAATATGCTCATCTTTTTACAAGGTCCACAAAAAATCACTGCCCACCTTTAAATAAAAGTTGTCTAAACTTAAAACTTTATATTTGTTTAAATATTGGTAAAATAGTATTAGTAGGTTTCTGTTTAAGTTATTCGTTTAATTTTGTAAAATAAGTGACAAGTTTTGATTTAAAAAAACCGTCAATTATTTATGACTTTATTATAAAATACTGATTTTTCACTTGTTACTGATAGGCCTAAAAAAAGAGCATCAGGTCGTACGTAATAGCACCATTTCCCCAAAACTGTGCATCATATAAGTAATAATTCGTATCATAAATGTTTTTTTTAAGTTACCATAACAATAGTCATATTTTATTAGCAGATAACTTTTCCCTAATAACACCACCGATCATTGTACAAACATTCTGAAATATTTTTTAGCCCATCATTTCAGATAGATTAGAATGTAATGTTAAATATTTAGTGATGTTATTAGGCAGCTGCTCTGCATTGATACGTAAACCGAAGCAGCGGACGGTCGTCGTTAGCACTAAAAATCTTTTTTTTCTTTTTATGCGTCAGGAGGATAGAAATCAATGACCACTTAATAAAGTAAGTATCGAAGGCTATGATCCTACGCACATAAGCGATTCATAATTACTACTCGTGGTGCTGCCTATCGAAACATTAGAAATCACATGGTGTTCTTGGGCGTTAGTATTCCTGAGAATGTCATCCGCCGATAGTGGTGTGAGTTTCCAACCTGGAATTAAATCCAATTCCAAATCGGGACCTATATCAACATCTAGAAGCTCATTATTATTGAGTGGATCTAATGGTGATTGACTTGAGAGAGATAAAACACTTCCCCAATTGATCGATCGACTATCCTCACTGTCACCAATACCTGAATCGGCATCTGTTTCTGTAGAAGAAATTGGAGGTATGGGAAATGGCGTAAGCCTTCCTTGCTCAGATGTTTGCAGTTGAGCAATTGGTGTCGTTGAAATAACAGGTTCCATTGGAGGTGGACTACGATCCCTCTCCATTTCTTTTTCTAAATGCCTTAATGTATTGCAAATGAGTACTGATCGATGTAAACTTGGATCTGGGAATTGACGATATCTCGCTAATTTGCACATTGAAATATTGAGAACAGCTAGTCTTCTTTGTCTATAACATGTCCGTCCTCTTCGGCACCAACTTGACCTTGAACCTTCACAACATCTGTCGTTTGCACGATAACTAGAGCCAAGCTCCAAATAACTTTTACCATTTTCTTCTCGCCTTATCATTGGAGGCTCATAATTGTGGGGCTGTGCCCATTGTATTGTTGGCCTTGATAGTTGATTGTAACCATTATTTCCAAGACCTCGTTGATAGTAATGCTGAGAATGATGTAATTGAGCTGGAGGTGTTGTTGGAGTTGTCGACGGACAAAGTCCAGTTTGTAAACACGACAATGGTGAATCCATTTCATAATACGAAGAGGGCGACGTTGTTGTTGTCGTTTGATTTAATTGTGACGTGTAATTTTCATCCATTGCCCACCAGCTACCATCAACTCTACTAAATTTTGAAGGATTCTCACCGACATCCATATCAAATTCCATACAAACCACACCTGTTTCCAATTTACGTTTTCCTGACGTGGCTTGCAAACCCATCATTGCACAACTCTGCAACATATAAAATAGAGAAATATTTAATACATATATTATTCATTTCATTATTGTATTAAGAATAACTTTACTATTTTTAAACAATTTTTTAAAAAATATATACAATGCAGGGCCGCATTTACCGAATAAGGAGCCCCAGGAATTGTTGGTGGGGGCCCCATGCATGGAAAGGGTTTTTCAAAAATTTTACGAAGATTAAAGTTTTAAAAAAAGTATATATTACCAAGTAGAAATGTCCGTAGCTCGCCAAAATTAAACACCAGCATGGTACTGACCCAATACTGGTCGTCGGTATTGACTTTCAGTACAGGCAGTGTACTGACTTATATACCGAATTAGTACTATCTCGGAGGTAAAAAAATATTTAAACCAGTACTGGCAGTAGACTGTCATACACACCGAATCAGTACTATGTCGCTGGTAAAAAAAAACATTTAATAAAACAGTCTTAAAATTGTTCTAATAGGTAGAAAACGATGATTTTTTATTAATACTGTTTATTTAATTAATAATAAACGACAATTAGTTAATTCTTTGTGTTTCCATTTTTGTTGTTAAAAGTAGAATATCTCAAATTTATTATCACATACTTTAGTACTAGACAGTTCTTCATAATTCGATATATTTTGTGGATTCTTAAATTAAATTTTCAAACTATTTTACCATTTATATTTTACAGTCGTCCTTATTTTAAAATTATTTTAAATTACGTAATTCATAAATCATTTTTTTTGTTTTAATATAATTATTTGCGGTAAAAATAATTTATTAATAACATTCAACTGAAATTGATATACAGTTTTATTTCATAAAATCTTTGAAATAATTATAAATTTTTGTAAGGTAAAAAAATTCTAGAATGAAGTCATTTTATTTTCGTGATCAATAGATAATACGGTCTTCGAAATCAAAACTTTCGCATAAGGTTGAACTACTTCAAGTCAGCGCGGCGGGTTCGATCCCCCATGCGTGCGAGATTTTTCATTCTTAGTTTTAAGTGTTACTAGACGTAGACTGCGCGCGCCTTTTAAGTTGATATTTCGTACTTGACCAGAAATAAGTAAAGAATATTCATATTGCAAATGTCAAAATGTGTTATGATTGAAAATTAGTCAAAAGTTCAATCTTTTGTCGATAATAATTTATTTGACCGGAATTTATTAAGTCAACACTCTTAAAAGTCGACATTTTATTAGAATGCTTTTATATGAAATTGATTTGTCATTTTCGAGAAAGGACATAGAACCATCTAGTAACTTAATGAAACTGTCTAGAAACTTAATGAAAACTTTTAGAATCTTCATAGAACGTTCTAGTAAATTTATAAAAACTTATAGAAATTCCGTAGAATTTTCTAGAAATTTCTTGAAACTTTTGAAAAACTTTGTGGAACATTATATTCACAATACCTTGTACTATCTTCATGGAATTATCTAGATACTTTATGGAACCTTCTAGAAACCTTTATAAAACTTTTTAGGGTTTTCATGGAAGTTTCTAGAAACTAAATGGAACTTTCTAAGAACTTCATGGAACTTTCTAGGAACTTAATGAAATAATCTAGAATCTTTATGGAACTTTCTATTCATGAAACCATATAGAGTCTTTATGAAACTTTCTTAAAACTTAACTGAACTTTCTAGAAACTTTCTAGAATTTTCAAGAAACTTAATGAAACTTTTTAGAGTTTTCATAAAACTTTCTAGAAACTTAATGAAACTTCGTAGAAACTTCATGAAGCCTTCTAGAATTTTTGTGGAATTTTCTAGAAACGTCGTAGAATTTAAAAAAGAAACTTAATGAAACTTTTTAATGTCTTCATGGAACTTCAAAGAAACTTAATGAAACCTTCTAGAATTTTTACAGAACTTTCTAGACAATTCATGGAACTTTTCATTCATGAAACCTTTTAGAGTCTTTATGAAACTTTCTAGAACGTTTTATGAAGCCTTTTAGAAATTTCATAAAACCTTTCACAATGTGCATGGATCTTTATAGTAACTTCATGAAAACTTCTAAAATATTCACGGAACATTCTAGAAACTTCATGGAACCTTCTAAAAACCTCTTGGAACTCCCATTCCTGAAACCTTCTGAAGTCTAATTTTAATAAACATTTTAATTTTTTTACTCTTTTTTAGAAACTTCCTAAAAACTTCATGGAACTTTTCAGAAACTTCATAAAACCTTCTAGGAACGTAATGGTACTTTCTTGAAACTTCATAGAACCTTATACCTAGAAAGTTCGTAGAACTTTTGAAGAAACTGAATGAATAACCTTTTAGAATCTTTATGGAACTTTCTATGTATAAACTTCGTAGAACTTTTTGGAAACATAATGGAAAAATCTAGGAAATCTTCATCAAAATTTTTAAAACTTCATGAAAATATCTAGAAAATTCAGGAAAGCATCTAAAAAATTCAAGAAATCTTCTGAAATCTTCATAGATCCTTTTAGAAACTTGATGAAACTTTCTAGAAACCTAAAGAAATATTTAGAAATTATATTTCACCTTTTAGAAACTTTATAGAATTTTCTAAATATTTCATGGAATCTCCTAAGATCTTTGTTTATGAAGTAGAATATTTGCTAAAAAAATATTTACCTAAATATACACATTTTGAAAACCAACAAATCTAAACAACTTTTCTTTATGAACCAAAAAGTAATAAATAAAAAATTAAAATCACAAACAATTTTTTTTAATTAGAATGCGTTTTTATGGCGTAGAAAAGTAGAACTATAAAAATTTTAATAAAAGAATAAATGTTCGATAAAATATTTTAATTTATTGCAAATATTCATTATGGCAGATTAAATCAAATTGAAACATGACAGTTTTAAATAGTTTGTCGAATTGATTAAAGGTCCAAGAAGAAGTAATTCGTAAAAACATTCAAAGTTGTCTAAAATATTTTAAATCATTGAAAACATTCTTTAAACCATATTTAATGAAAAAATTATTCCAATTTTGAATGCTTTTACGAATTACCTTTAATCAATTCGAAAATATATTCAAAACTGTCATGATTCATTTTGATTCAATCTGGCATAAATAATACCTACTCGCAATAATTTTAATTATTTTGGCAAACATTTATTCTTTTATTGCAACTTTCAACAGTTATACTTCTATCTTTTATTTATCACTTTTTAGGCCCCCATAATAATAGCATTCCTATTAAAAAAAATTTGTTTACTTTAATTTGTTTAACTGGGGCGCATGAATAAGTTCTAAAATTAATTTGTTAGAATTCCCATTTGTTAGAATTACATTAGATAGAATTTTCTTTTAATCGAATTTTTACTTGACCGAATTATTATTTTACAGAATTTCTGTTCATCCGATTTTCTATATGACAGAATTTTTATATAACCGAACATTCAATTGACAGAACTTCTATTTGATCGAATTTTCATTTCTCAGAATTTTCATATGCTCGATTTTTTGATAAATAGAATAGCCATTTAGACGACTTCTAATTAGACAGAATTTTAATATAAAGAATTTACTTTTATCCGAAGTTTAATTTTTTAGAATTATTATTTCACAGAATTTCTATTTCATCGTTTCTTCACAGTATAGAATTATTACTTAACCAAATATTCATTTAACAGAATTTCCATTTGATCGAATTTTTATGTGTCAGAATTTTCATCTTTTCGAATGTTCATTAAACAGAATATTCATTTAAATGAATTTTTATTAGGTAGAATTTTAATAGGAAGAATTTACTTTTAGCGGAAGTTTCATTTCTTAGAATTATAATTTAGCAGAATTTTAATTTAATCGATTTTTAGCATTGCAGAACTTTTATTTAGTCGAAATTTTATTTAAAGAATTTCTATTTGATCGAATTTGCATTTGTCCGAATTTTTATTAACTCGAATTTCTATTAAACAGAATATTTATTTAGACGAATGTTTGTAAGACAGAATTTCCATTTCACAGAATTTTTATTTGTTCGAATTCTTATTTGAACGTATTGTCATTTGAAAAAATTCTTAAAACGTCGAATTTGCAAATGTCCGAATAAGCATCCGGCAGAAACGATTCAACCATTTGCAAATTCGGTCAAATGCAAATTCGACGTTTTAAGAATTCTTTCAAATGACAATTCGTTCAAATAAGAATTCGAACAAATGAAAATTCGGTGAAATTGAAATTATGTCTTACAAAAATTCGTCTAAATAAGTAGGTGTTCTGTTTAATGGAAATTCGAGTTAATAAAAATTCGGACAAATGCAAATTCGATCAAATAGAAATTCTTTAAATAAAATTTCGACTAAATAAAAGTTCTGCAATGCTAAAAATCGATTAAATTAAAATTCTGCTAAATTATAATTCTAAGAAATGAAACTTCCGCTAAAAGTAAATTCTTCCTATTAAAATTCTACCTAATAAAAATTCGTTTAAATGAATATTCTGTTTAATGAACATTCAAAAAGATGAAAATTCTGACACATAAAAATTCGATGAAATGGAAGTTCTGTTAAATGAATATTTGGTTAAGTAATAATTCTATACTGTGAAAAAACGATGAAATAGAAATTCTGTGAAATAATAATTCTAAAAAATTAAACTTCGGATAAAAGTAAATTCTTTATATTAAAATTCTGTCTAATAACAATTCGTCTAAATGGCTATTCTATTTAACAAAAAATCGAGCATATGAAAATTCGATCAAATATAAGTTCTGTCAGTTGAATGTTCGGTTATATAAGAATTCTGTAATATAGAAAATCGGATGAATATAAATTCTGTGAAATAATAATTCGGTCAAATAAAAATTCGGTTAAAAGAAAATTCTATCTAATCTATTTAAAATCTATCTAAATAATTTATTCTAACAAATGGAAATTCAAAAAAATTAATTTTAGAACTTATTCATGTGCCCCGTTTAACTGACATTCTATTTATAGTGAACCTTTTATTCGGTTAATATTATCTAATTAGTTGACATTCTATAACCAATCAGGCAAGGTTGCAGAAGAT